AATATAAACCATAAATCAACTTGTGCAGTGGTTGTTCCGGTGTATTCCACTTTTACTTCTGTGATAATTATTGTACAAAATGTTAGTTAATCAGTCACTCAGTGTATATATAACTGATAAATGAACATGTTGTCTTCTTTTATACTGAGATAAAACAACTCTCTGGTGCTTTCTGATTTTTAATAGTACTTTGAATAAGATCAATCTGTGGCGAATATTACCTACATATATAAGGATGAAGAATTCCGTGGACGCCCAACTTCGAGATCAACAAGCTGGATTTCGTAAGGATAGATCGTGCACAGACCAAATCGCAACCCTACGGATCATTGTGGAACAATCAATCGAATGGAATCCATCACTCTACATCAACTTCATTGACTACGAGAAGGCATTTGATAGCGTGGACAGAACAACACTATGGAGGCTTCTTCGACACTATGGCGTGCCTGAGAAAATAGTCAATATCATACGGAACTCCTATGACGGATTAAACTGCCAAATCATCAATGGAAGACAACTCACCGACTCATTCGAGGTGAAGACCGGCGTCAGGCAAGGTTGCTTAGCCTCACCCTTTCTCTTTCTCCTGGTGATCGACTGGATCATGAAGACGTCAACATCTGGAGCAAATCACGGGGTACAGTGGACAGGCAGGATGTAGCTTCACGATTTGGACTTCGCGGATGATCTGGCTCTTCTATCACAAGCGCAACAACAAATTCAGGAGAAAACAATCAGTGTAGCAGCAACCTCAGCAGCAGTAGGTCTCAATATAAACAAAGGAAAAAGCAAGACTCTCCGATACAATACAATATGCACCAATCAAATTACACTTGACGGAGAAGCTTTGGAGAATGTGGAAACCTTTACATATCTGGGCAGCATCATTGATGAACACGGTAGATCAGATGCAGATGTGAGAGCGAGGATCGGCAAAGCAAGAGCAGCATATTTACAACTGAGGAACATCTGGAGCTCAAAACAATTGTCAACCAAAACCAAGGTTAAAATTTACAATACAAATGTCAAGACAGTTCTACTGTATGGGGCGGAGACGTGGAGAACTACGAAAGCCATTATCCAGAAGATACAAGTGTTCATCAACAGCTGTCTACGCAAGATACTTCGGATCCGATGGCCAGACACTACCAGCAACAAGTTACTGTGGGAGACAACAAACCAGATTTCAGCGGAAGAAGAAATCAGGAAGAAGCGCTGGAAGTGGATTGGGCACACTTTAAGGAAATCACCCAATTGTGTCACAAGACAAGACCTCACATGGAGTCGTGAAGGTCAAAGTAGAAGAGGAATACAAAAGAACACATTACGCCGAGAAATAGAGACAGACATGGGAAGAATGAAAAAAATTGGATAGAACTAGGAAAGAAGGCCCACGACAGAGTGGGTTAGAGAATGCTGGTCGGCGGCCTATGCTCCATTGGGAGTAACAGGCGTAAGTAAGTAAATCGGTGACACTCGACTAAAACTGCAAACTAAATGACTGACACTATTGGTTAAAGCAAAATATGACTGATTTGCTCAAAGCTCAGTCAGTCAGTTACAACGTAGAACTTCGTACGTACGTACATCAGTTCAAGTTGCCATACCACATCAGCACAGAGATACAGTTGTCGATACAAATCCTATATTGGTAGAAGTAGTAAGAGTATAAGTATTATGTGAAAGATAAGGGTTTGATGTTATTGAAAGAGCATAATACGGTGAAATAAATTTGGAAAGAGAAAAAGGATGGGGACATGAAGAATTCAGATTAGAATTTGGTAGAACACAAAGAGTGGATGCACCTTCGCCATTGCAAACGATTTTGAGCCATGTCATCCAAGGTCTCTAACCATCGGTTGTTATCATCTCGCGAATCCCAACCAGGTAGTCTACACCTACCAACATGGCCCAGTCCACTTGTCAGCGACTTCATGGATTTATGCCATGTTTTGGTCTGCGCAATGAGTTTATAGACTAAAGATATTGTTGGAAAGTTTCAAGGTAGTTATTCACACAGGAAGAATAGTAAAAACAACTTAATCATAATAACTGAGAAGTAACAGCTACCAGCATAAACTCCATTAGTTGAAAACGCAATATTGTCAGTTCTCAGGTTCAAATCTGTGTGAAACTAATCGTTCTGAGAAAACTTGGAATAAAACAACACAGTTATCTGATACTTCTAGACAGTTTAGTTACGTAACCACCTGAAAATTAAACATTTCCTTCAAAAACAGAATTTTCGAGGAGAGTTCTACACTCCCACCTTTACATTTGTTCATCATACCACTTACAGGATTATTAACTTTTATTAGTCAATTAATTATTACTAATTGATCATAATCAGAAAAGAAAACAGATAGAGAAATAAAGAAAAATATTGATTGCAATCACATTTGCATATATATCTATCATGAATTATTCAACAATATAACTGATACAGGTCATCTATGAAGAAGTAAATAAGTTGATATAGATTACAAATGCATATACGCAATAACTTTTTTTATTGATTACAAATATAACAACAACTGGGACAATAAAGATTTTTCGAAATAGTTTAAAAATGGTCATTTAGTAGTTTACCTTTGTGTTTTTTTGACTCTACACTCATGATGATGATAATTAAATATACAAATACAATAAAATCAATGATTAACTAAAATTCAGTCAGTCAGTCAGCGACAACGTAGGACCAGGCACATATATGCATCGGTCCAAGTTGCCATACCTCGTTAGCACAACAAGATGAACACCGGATTCATAGAAGTAATTAATTTAGTGGTGGTAGTATATGAAGAAAGGTTGTATATAAGGATATAGTATAGGAAGGAAGACGAAGTAATTAACTAAAATTAAATGATCATTACACTCAATTTTCCTTATACAATTTCTTTTTAGTTTTATTACTTCAAAGATGAAGTAGCATCCTGTTGCTAGGATGACTACAAGTTATCTAGTTCTTGAGAATAAATATTGATATCTTTCCTGTAATGACAACAATTAGCATATTTTTATTAATTCGTACTTCTATATAACGAGTGTTGTTTTCTAATTATTTGGATATTATCAATTTTAGTTTGCTAATTTCTCAAAAATTTCTCACTTTGATATTATCGTCCTATATATACAAAGATGTTCTACTTCAATTTTTTTGTTTTTGTTGAATATCAAGCTTTTGCTATACTCCTGTTTTGATCTCAGATTCCATTATTTGATGATAATTGATGGAGCGTTTTGTACGTTAGTGGCCGTATCATCGAGTTGGTATTAGTTCCTAACCATATTTGAAGGATATCGATAGTTCGTAATTAGCAATTATCATAGACTGAACCGAGTGAACCACACGGTTCAACACATAATACAAATGAATAAGAATCATATAATATGAGATAGCCATAGGATTTTAATAAATGGACAACTAACTACGTCATATCTATATGTTCATTGATGCAGTGAACATTAAATAGATTATATACGACTACGAATTGTGTTTCAGAGCCACAGTTCAGTAATTAAAGCACCCCACTCAGCCACAAGATATAACAACTTTTAACCGAATTACCGGTGGTTTCTGAACTCACTCTACCAAATATTTCGGTTTGGAAAGTTGTGAGTTGCATAGATAGTCTTCATAAAGACAATGTGGGTCGAATTTGAGTTCAGCAATCTGGTAATGTGTAAATTTAGTCGCCAGAGATAATATCAATTCTAAAATTATACATAATTTGAATCCTAAATCAGCTGTGAAGTTTCACTTAGAAAGTACTTTCGTTTAATCATTTTAAAAAACTTGATGAAGTCTTCACAATCAAACCGAAATATCCGGAAATTTTTAATATTTTACTAGATATTTCATGAATCGTTAAAATTTAATTCCTCTGTATTACGAGATCCCCGTAATTTATTTACTCTCACTATGGATAAAATAATTAGAGTAATATTTTGTTAAATGATATATTCGAAAATTCGCTAACTTATTATTCATTAGAATGAGAAAGAATCATTGAATTAGATGTTGTAAATTTACGGTGTACGAATTCGTACAAATCAACTGTCACTATCAATGATATTGATATATATGTAATCAAGCATATCAGTACATGTTTGTGCACTCAGCTTTGAGCGAGATACATTGAGTTAGATCTCGTGATAATATCCAGTTCCTCAAACCGAAACAGGTGGACAAGCACTCGAACTTACGAGACATTGGGTGAGAGTTTAGTGCATTAATCAACAAACGGCTGATCAATAATTTTACACGTCAATTACTGGGTCTGGGTTTTTTTAATCAAACTCCACTACCTACTGCTTAGTCGAACGAGTAGTATCACTAGCTTAACAAAAATTTCAAGTTTGAATCTCAGCGCAGTGGTTAGTGAATTACAACAGCTTTAGTGAATCTGTAGATTATTTACTGTCCAATGTGTTAAAAAGTAATTTTTATTAATAAAGTACCAAGCTTCATAGATAGTAGTGATAGCTTATACTCATAACTATACTGAATACGAGAGCATGTTTACGAATGAATATAAGCTACAATTACAGTTTCTTTCCAAACAAAACTTCATACAAGAAAACTCAAAAACGAAAACTACTGAAAAGCTACTTCCATTGATTCGGAGAATATACATAGTAAGAGTGATATATACATCCAAAATGAGAATAGAAACTTTATAATTCTAGGCAAGTTACAACATTTATTCCTTAATACTTTACAAATATACTAATGAAGTTGAACTGAAGATAAATTGTGTGAAGTAGTGGTGTTTAGGAACTTATCATTCAACTAGTAGGTAACAGATCCGAATTCTATTCTTTCTAATTTAGTTTCAGCAGGCAAGTAGTATTACTATCCCTTGTAAAAAAAACAATTTGGTTCGAGACCGACTCTATATAAACCGGTATACTAGGTAAGTTATTATTACATCATTTTGACGATAATATCAACAAAAAAGGAAATCATAACCTGTGAGATGTAAACAGAAGCTAACCTGTATATATTTCTTAGGGATCGCTGTAGATGAATCCATTTGCAAGAACATGATATTATCTGCTTCTTGAGAAATTTTACCACCACCATATAAACTGTTAATTGAAAGCAGACGACCAATTTCTTCCTATTTAAAAATGAAACTATGTTAAACAATAAAAGAATTTACTTTTCGAGGATGAGCGACGATCGTAACATGTGTACCTTTTTCAGTGGCAAAAGCACGTAGCTTTTCTATAAAGTGATCTTGACGCTGAAAACGTTCGATGAAAGCACCATCACCAGCGCCTAGTAAAAATTGTAAATTATCGATAACTATGTGTTCTACGCCAGAATCTTTGACACCAACCTCCATAGTCTACATATAAATAGTAAAGAAAGAAAAATAGAAGTAATATAATCAAATAAACAAACTAATTTTATCAATAGTTGATGTAAACCATAAGCTTGTTATACGTCAATATAAGAATAATCCGTATAGGGACTATATTTGATGTTTAAGAACAACAATGCTTATTTCCCAAAGAAGAAATGCCTGGCTTAAGTATTCTGTGGTTTGAAGTAAATGAGTGAAAGCCCTCAACTCAGGTTTTATGATAGCTTAGACCAACCGATATAAGATACTTGTTGTTCTCAGGAAACTGATTTTTCTCATAGGATTTTGTCCGGCATCATGGAGTGTTGCAACTAGAAACTTAATAATCGAGTTATTTAGGTTGGTATTGACCTATTCGATCACAACCCAGACTGATCAGTGAAATTCCATCAGCACTAAGAACTAGATAACATTATATTTATTCATACAGGTGGTTTAAAGCATTTTTCAGGAGTGGGTACTTATAGACAACGCTAAACTGAAATATTAAATTCTCAGTTTTTAGGAGGAATTCAATAAAAGAACAAACATAGGTTATTAGTTTTCGAACAAACTGTTTCACTTGTTTCGGATTTTTTTCTGGACAAATAATCTTACTTTGGTACTATTTCTATATATAAATATACTCTTGTTTCAATTAACTAATTAATATCCTTTATTTTACCGTGGAAGAATGATAGTTGAATATTATTGAGATCATGAACTGATCTAAGTTACACAACTACAGAAATCTTGCAAGGACTGGGTGGTCGTTTCATCCAAGTATAGGTCTCCTCAGAAGTGGAAATTCACGATCCTGCAAACGAGAATAGAACCGAGAACCTTCGGTCTCATGAACGAACATTTAAACAATAGACCACTCAGCCAGGATCCAACTCCAGTTCATGACATTGGGAGACCATTTTTCATTGTCTTCATTGAGTACCTTTCTCATACTTGACACGGATTAGCTATATTGACCACGGAACTCCGGTACCTTCAAGTTTTTGATGGTTGTTTAACTTAGATCGGTTCGTGATTTAAATGAAATCCAACAATCTTCACAACCCCATACTGAAAATGATGGCTGGTTTCGGACATCCATAAAGCAGATTCCTAACAGTTCAAGCAAATGTATGGATCATACTCAGGTGATTTCCTGTCATTTATTATTACCCAAACGTATAAATTAAGTGATATTGCACAACTAAGCAAGCATTTTAATCATAATAACATTTGTCAAAAGTTGACAGTTAATCTAACTTAGCATAAATCCACTAACGGTAGGAAAATGAATATTTTTATACAAAATTAATGAATGATAAAAACAAGTGAAATTTAAAAGTTCCAATTCTACGACGAAATGTGAACAGTTGAAAGTCACAATGATGTAATAATAAGGGTTATAAAACTAAGTCACAATGTGAATGAAAGCAATACAAGATTGTGTAACTTCCTAACACCTCTAACGAAAAAAATAAATGGATTGTTAATTTATTGTGCTAGATTGTTATCACTTCAATATGGTGTATCCTTATACAATATGGTGCAACTCATTTAACAAAAGTTGATGAATAGGACTTTAAGTCACACATTTTGGTTGTTTCATTATGAAAAGAACAGAATAACGTCGCCTCTACTTAACATTACATTCCGTAAAATTACTACACTATATGTCGGAATCCAATGTAATAATCTCGTACATGGTGTATTATATATATATATATATATATATATATATATATATATACTCGATGCTTAATTACTTCGAATCTTAAAGGAACTTCAACGAAGACACACCTCTTCTATAAAGAAACAACAAAAGGAACAAGCCTGAAAACAGTACATATCTCACTGTATCTCGTAAAGTGACAAGCTTTTGTGAATTTTATGCACTCGCAAATCTATTTCTTAAAAAAAAAGAGAATTATCAGCATTTTATATTTTGAATTTTGCTGGTTTGAACAAACTAAGAATGACAAGATTAGCTAATTAAAATGAACCTATTTTACTTCATAACTTCAAGTTAACGGTAACCAGTTTAAGATTACAAATTTCATTCCAATAAGTTCAATAAAACAACATAATTTGGAAAAATAATTGAATGGTAATCAGTAGTGAGCAATAGCCAATATTATAAAAAAAATATGAGAACGAAAATAGAACAACGGATTGTGACCGGAACTAGTTGATAATTTATATGTGACTAAATGGAAAGTTTTAGAATGTTGAATAATGAGAAATACAAGCACTATGTCAGTCAGTCACAACGTACGTACGTACATCAGTTTGAGTTTCCACATCACATTAGCACTCAGATGAAGTTGTCAATTCAAATTCCATAGTGGTAGAAGTAGTAAGAGTATAAGTAGTAATCAGAAAGACTAGGGTTTGAAGATGTTATTCAAGGGGTATATTCCAGTGAAGTAAACTTGGAAAGAGAAAAAAGATATAGACTATGTTATTGAAGTCAACTATCAAACTACGCAACGTATGAGAATAAAAGGACAATAAGACTGAGGATTTCCAAGTGCCTTTTGAAATTTGCCGAAGAAATAGAGATCAAACGTCTAAAACCAGATCTATGTATCCAAAAAAAGCAGTAATAAATCTCTTTCCCATGGTAACATTAAACCCCTTTCTTTGTTTGTTATGTCACTCATTATTTCAACTCTTTCTGAAGTTCGATTACATCATTGTCATTTTTCTTCAATTCGTATCTTTCTCTATTACCATTAATCTGTTTTCAGTTGCTTCATTACACAATCATCCAATGTTTGTTAACTATATGAGTCGTAATCGTTATTTCAATGCTCCGGAACTTTCCTTCCCAAACTTTATTTATCGGAAACAAATTTTTTTATCACCTTATTAACTCCATCGGATTCTTCGCTACGTCACGATACTCATATTCATCACTAATTACTCTCGTATTTATAAGTATGTCAGTATCTGTAATAACGTTGATTTTAAGTATTATAGGTTGTGGGCAGCTGATAAGGATCTAAGAAAATAAAATGAATTCAGATTATTCTGCACCAATCTTCATTTTTGCTCTCTTTAAATTAGTGATTCAATCTGCTCATAACTAAAAAATTGAACCATAGTGTTGTTGGAAATATCATTATGGCGGCGAAAAAACATGCGTTGAATAGTGGTTTACTTATAGTATTATATCAGATTTAAGCACAAATTGCTAAAAACATTTTCTTCAGTCAATGCTGAAAATTATTTTTGACGAACGTATTATATCATTTAAATATTTTGAAATAAACTTTTATGAACAAGAGGAATTAATAGTGAATGATATTCATTTCTAGATAACCAAATTTTGATGAACATTAAGCCTTATTTTCGCCTGCCTACATATTTAAACTCAGTTCTTTCATCTTACTCAATAACTCTATTGCTTCATTTGAACTTAAAATTTGGGAGATCAACTTTTTACTCCTTTCTAATACATAATAAATTTAATTTTAAGATGAGTTTTGATATTTGTTATAACGGTCCGTTTTCCTCGTTACACAAATGAGATATTAATTTACCTTAGAGGGATATCTAAACTAGGTTCCCTCCCAGTATTTACTTTACAGGACTTCAACACAACTCAGATAAAAAACATGTTATTAGCCTGACAAGAACGTAAATATATTTGCACACCAAAACCGACACAATCCAACAACAAATAATCGATAATTGTAAATAATAAGGATAGGAGAATATATACCTCATATATATATAACTCATTTGACACTTATAAGACTATCTACATGTCTGACTAAGCAAACAACCAGATATTATCATTCTCGCCCACACATCAATACTTTATTTAAGTTGTAATGCATCGAAAATTAAGTGCACTATCAGCCTACTTGATGTAGCATGATGTTTAAATGACCAAGAACTAATTGCATTACCATGAGATGCTCTTAAAAACCTGTATAACTCTCAATTTTCTTACTCTGAGTAATCATGTCATATGATTAATTTCAATAGCATTTTTTACATTCTTTACCCAGCTTCACTTATTTATTTTGCTAATCTCATTATTCCTAACTTGTTCAATTTGTCCAGACACTTACTTACACTACGCGTTAGTAAAACAAGTAGTAAAAAAGATAAGGTATGAAAGATATAATGCGATAATAAAACATGGATCCTTGGGATGAAAACAATTTTAAAAGTTCATGGATAATCAGGAAACCAAGGGTCTAAGGGGAGATAGAAAGTGGATGCACTTATTCCTAAACCAACTATCATCGTGTGTCAAGGTAGGGGGTGGCTGGGCACATGGAACACATATCCCAATCACTTCAGCTAACAGTAACAAAAACCATTGTTCTTGAAACTGCAGTTTAAAAGTGACAGTTAGTAAAACTAAGACACGTCGTCTTAGGAATTTGTCAAAGACGAAATCCAATGCTGTAAAATCAGTTATGTTGTTCCTTAACTAATCAATATTGATTCTACTGAATAAAAATAAACTGTTTAGCTCCACTAAATCATCGTGTACTTCTCAGTTCAACAGCTCTTATAGAGTCAATTACAACAGGTTTACTTGTCACATCCACACCTTGGTTTCTACGCAGTCAGTCTTGATAATGGATTTCTATTCTCTTCAAATTACTAATCTAAAGTCAAAATCAGGATTTTAATATCAAGACATAAACAGGTTTCGCACCTTAATTTGAATGATGAACTCTGAAAGGTACATATAATAATCGGTGCCTTAGTAGTTATGGCGTTTGATTTTATACAGTCTAGTCGCAGATTTGAACATTGCTCCCCTACTTTGACTTAGGCAACTGAGCAGCATTATTATCCCAGATACGTAGAATGTGCCTCATATCTAAGCACCTGGTAAATGAGTTTAATCATTCCACCTTAGTCAGAACGAGAATCACACACATGTGTATATGTGAGTGCACGATAGCGTGACTAAGTGCTGTCTGTAAAGTTATTATATTACAAGTGAAATAACTGTACATCTGACTACTTTGTTTCCAGTGGGATAATTAGTTATCATACACTTAGATTCATTAGTTGGACCAAGTGTACTATGAGACTAAGTTTTTGTCGTATCGAACACTACAATAAGTTGTAAATTGAGTGGTATTCTAGTAAACAATTTTGAAGTACTGTTATTTGAATTACAACAGGCAACCAAAAACTGAGCCCTTTCCTGGTACGGCCGAGAGTGGGGAGTACCCGCCCACTCTCTCGAAATGCTCTCACACGGCCGAGAAAGTCTTACTCACTGCCTTCTCGTGGCGGGATGTTATTGTTTACGAAATTGAGAGGACGAAAAGCTTATATCCGGCACTTTAACCGGGTTGGTGGATACGGAAAGTTTACCTAGGGGAGTTGGAAAACCCTGATTCCAAGCCAATGGTGCACATGGGCTCCAGTATCCTGAAGGAACAAATGGCGTATGAATCAATCGTTAGTCACCGGATACCATGGGACTGCATCTCCTTACCATGCTCCACTGCTTTGTGGATCGGATCTTTAGGTCGAAGGCTCTGCGTGTGGCCGCCTAAGAAAACCACCTGCTTCAGTTTGGGCACCTGGGCAGTATCAAAACCCTAACACAATTAAATGAAATAACAATTTTTTGTGTGGCGCATATATATTTGGTGCCCCGTTGTACCAATATTTGTGTCCAAATAATAATAATAATAATAATAAAAATAATAACCTAAGACTGTTAACTGCAGAAATCCATAGATAATAGTGCGGATATCCATAAAATTCAAATATTGCAGTACAAAACGTTTTACTACATTAATTGGAATTGAGGACATTGTTCATATGATCTTAGTATGTTTACACCACCTGACATTAAACTGACATGATTTTGAGTCTAAATCCACTATTTAAATATATCTAGACAGAAAGAAATCGCATTTAATGTTTATCACATCAATTTAATTCTCAACAATTTATGGGTGGGATAAAGGATAAGTTAGAAAAGATCACATTCACATTCAGTAAATTGTTTTGCTTCATTATTGTTAAACAACGTTTGGAGGTAGATAATACTCATACGCTTTAAAATAGGTCACAGTTGAGCAGATGCACCTAATCTTTAACTTTCAATTATTTAAGACTTTCTAACACTCACTTACTGTTCCCAACCCAAATTCTTTAAATTTAGCGTTTTTTTTTAAAATCATCCTAGACGCCATTACTACCTAGATTTGCTATGAATATTGTTAATTTGACCTAGCTGTAATAAGGAATGGAAACTTGAGTGAATGTGAATGTGTAATTGACAACGTTCTTTATGACTGAACTGAATAGTCGATTTTTAGACTAATTATTTAAAGTGTACATTCACTGACTAATAATGCTTAACGTACCCCATTCTTATTATACTAACAGTTTGTGACTTTAATGACTATTTTCACAACCCTGTAATCCAGTGTGGGATAATGTGTTGGACTATGCTTAACATGCACTACTAAGAACGTTTGTTTTTCTACAAGTCAAGTACAGTATCACCTGAAACTAATGACAGCGTAGAACACGATCTTAATGAGCCTGAATTACTAATAAATATAATCAGAACCAAGAATAAATTTTTAATTATCGCTCATTAAACCACAATAATTGACTGTGAATTTAAGTTCGTAATGTACTTAGTCAGAAACATAATAACAGGTTAAAATAAACTACAAAGAACTAAAACAAGTAAACATACAGAAGAACACAAGAATATCACGTCACAATATCAATCACCTTTAATACTTCTGTCAAACTTTGAGCTCCATGTAAGTTCATAAAGTAAATAGGAACGTTTTCGCTAAACATACGTGCCCATTCGGCGATCCTACTGGGTATAGGAGGATCTAATGGCTCACTGAATTGGTCTTAATGAAAAAGAATCGTCAAATTACCCTGCGAACTGTTGGATTAGTGTCTTACACACTTTTCGGAGAGGCATTTCAAAACTACCCCAAAGTGTCGGAACTCCCTGTTCAGCCAAATCAAGCGAATACTCGCACATGAAAGTCGTTTTACCAACACCAGTATTTCCTGACAAAATCGTCATTTCTTGTGTACGAAAACCTTTGATTATACGGTTAAGTTCAGTAAACCTGGAAAACTAAGCCGAGGATGACAAATAATTATTTCTAAGTACCGGCACTCCTTTAAGTTCAGTAACTTTTGACAACTCGTTTACGGTTGCTCTTAATAGATCTCCATCCAACCGCAAAACTCTGCTCATTTGAATCACATGTGTCCTTCAAAGTCAAGTAAACGCCTTCATTTAACCCTGAAATCAAATGCAAATGGTTTAATGGTTCAAATGGTTCTGAACGGAATAGAAAAAGCTTCCGCTTAACGGTTCGTTGTATCCAGTAGCAGTGGATCATTGATGTCTTCAGCTAGAAACTAATGTATTTTAAACGATAAAGGGGAAAAAATAGTAGTAAATAATAATGTGATACTGTCCTTTATCCCTAAGAATATGTCAAGTTTCCTCTTTATCACAAGCTTGCGTAAACCGATTAACTTCTTTGAGCTCGCTTCTTGTTATTCTATTACAGATCCGGATACCGACTTTTATCGCAGTACCGGACAGCAGTTTGGTCGGTTGCAATGGAAAATAATAAAATAATAATTTGAGTACTAAAAAAGACAATTGTTTCAAGAAACAAACAAATAGATGCGTTAATAAGAAGGTGATGTTGATGGTTTGTTAAGGTGAAATTAAAATAATTCGAGAGGAATAGATATAGTAATAAGAGAGATAGGAAGTATTTACTGGTGTACGATGATGATAACTATGGTAAATCTGGAGATTTGAATCATACACATCTGGTCAAAGGAGGAAATAGCAATCAGTATGAAAACACCATAAGTATTCGTAATTTGTTAGAGCTTTTACAAGTAACGCATTCATAGTTGAAGTGTACTAACCTAGTTAAATGAGACGCTGTAACTTAAGGGGTTTGATGACGTATTCTGAAAGCCATCGACTTGTTGAGAATCGTTTGATCTAAGATGTTTAGTAGTTTCAAAGGATACGTAGCATGATGTACCCACTCGTGATTTGCCAAGGCTTCGTGTAGGGTGTGTTCAGTAAGACTGATCAGGTCAGCGCCAGTGTCGAAGACTAACAGAATTATTTGTTTGGGGGTTATTTGCCACTGCGTGTAGGTGAATGTGTGTTTGTCAACTCTCCTCTTAAAGCTATCCACCAAGAAGGCTGTGTTCACTTCGGTCGGGAGAGCATTCCAAATAATCCAAATTATGATGGTAGAAAGTGAGAGAGTACCTGGGTGTTTGCTCTTTGATGTGAAATCTTTCGAGAGTTACCGAGGGCCTTATTCAATATTATATTTTCAGTACAATATATAATTTTCAGCACAAGGTATTTCAACAGGTGTCCTTTACAAAAAAAGATAGAAAGTGAAAGGAACTAACGACTGCATACATATATACATAAGCCAAGCAGATAAACTACCTGGAATTAAATGAACCTATTTGAAAGATCTGTGCAGCTTTTCAATTGGAAACACGTTTTAAAATTCAAGTTATTGATCAGATCAACTCTAACAACTTGTTCGTCATATAGTATATTTGCTAGATAAGGTATTGTAGAGATTTTTATCTGTTTCAGTGCGCGGACTTTAATGTATTGTTGTCTCGTTCTATCAGAAGATATACAAGGAGAAAGACATAAAGGAGGTGAATGGCCAATATATGATAACACTTTCCACGACTCTGCGAGACCTTAGATGTCTAACAACGACCATTTAATTGATTTCCCTAAGGATTAACCACATTCTGTGTTAACGGTCTCCAGAAGTCTCCGAAACACAGGAAAGTCTTTCCCGAAATCCCGGTAAAAAATAATGGAGAACAGAATGAATAACTGACAGTACGCAAGAATCGATAACTTTTAAGTGTATATAATGAGTAATACCAAAAACATGTCTCCTCTTTATGTAGCAAGTCTTCTTCGATAGCAACAAAACATGTGAGGACCAAGAGCGATCATAAGGAAAGCTTACACTAAGATAATTGACCTTCGACACTATGTTCATCAGAGAATCTCCAATGGTACGAGCTTTATGGAATTCCAACAGGGTACTTAGGAGCCGTTCATATCTCGGACTGAAGTTACCAGTTTGACATTCGGACGGGATGTGTGAGAACATTAACAACAGACCACTTCAACACGTAACAAGAACTTACTCATTTCAAGGGGATGTAGAAAGGTAGAAATCGGCACACATACAATGAGACCATTCACATATCTACCAATAGTGTTTTCTGTGGACGATGGCAGACCATTCAGAAAAAGACAAAAGGAAGAAAAAATGAGTTACTTGTGACGCTTTCCTCCAAACACAGTGCACTATTCTACCCCGAAGAATGAGAAGCGAAGTCAGTTGGTTATCCAGCTATCACTGTTGACGCTGATCGACTTTATAAGTGGGAGTTGTCATCAAAAATATAGTCAAAGGCAGAAAAATGGTCCAGAAAGGAGCGACGAACATTGTTGGATCCATTTTGCAAGTGAAAATCTCTCCATGCATACGCTTGTGATTTCTTCCTTACGTTTTCTTTATTTGTATATGCTGTTAACATTTTTGATGCTAATTAAGACTGTAACGTTCAATTTTCTTGGTTTTACTATTGTTTTTTTGTTCCTTACTGAACTGTATCTAGTTTGTTTTGATTGCTATTATTCTGGCACCTGCCATATTGGCTGCTCGCTATTTGATTGTGCGGTTGATTTTGACTGGGATCGTGCATTTTGGTTGTAATTTGGAGCACTTCCCCAGAAATCGAAACACTTTGCGTTACAAAATAGCCGCTCCAACGAAATCTTACTTGATCTATCCATAAAGGATAGAATAGCGCTTATCTTTTGGTGTTTTTGGTAATTTTCTTATATTCTTATCACTTTGCTATTTATTGTAATTTAGATTGAATATTTTTGTATCAATTGTTGGTTGAAAAACCGGGTGATAATATTCGTTTAGGTAAATTTGTACATTTGTATATATGATGAAATTTAGAACCGTGTTACCCAAAATACCTTGTTCTGCTTTTGATTGGGTCACGAGTGTTAAAACTATTCCTCGGTTATTCGGTCGCATCCAGACCTATTGGAATCTACGTTTGGATCTTACAAACATATTTCTGACCCTTTCGCAAGCTAAACGCTATGTTATGATGCAGAAAAACAGCAGCATCTGAGGTATTTCTTTCGAGTCTGCAAGCGAACTGATACGGATCAATTTGTCCCTTTGGTGCATACTGAAGAGGGAGTATCAATAATTTTTCCGTTGTCTGGAGAAAAGATGAAGTCATTGCTTTGGGTCTGAATTTCATATTCTTATCGCTAGAAACTTTTTTAGGTGTTGGAATTATCTTCTAACAGAGAAACTGCGCTTAGCTGAGTGCCTCAGGGTACAGTTTTGGGGCCAGAGTTGTTCCTTTGGCATGTAAATGACATCCTATCATCATCGGTCTTGCTACATGCTAATGATGTCAGGATATGGAGGGAGATAAGAAGCAAGGGTGATAGCTTGGAGCTTCAAAATGACCTGGAGAAATTACCTGAATGGTCTCAGACTTGGCGATTGCCTATAAATACTTGCAAGTACATTTTGATGCATATTGGCCATCAAGGTACAAATACATACATGATGAATAACATTGAGCTACCTGTTGTCCACACACACAATGACTTAGGAATCATTGTTAGCTAAGACTTTAAAACTACTACACACTACCGTGCAACAGCCGACAAAGCTTTGAGAAACCTGTAGTCAATACGTAGGGCCTTTAATCATGTTGACTCTAGGACGCATTTGACTTTGTATACAGTGTTCGTGCGTCCTAAACTTGAGTACTGCATACAAGCAGCTAGCACTTGCTTGAAAAAGACAATGAGCCGTTGGAAAAGATTCAACGAACAGCAACTAAGCCAACTCCCAGAGTAGCGAAGCTCCCGTTTTTCAAATACGTAGTGATAAAGCTGCAAATGATATCCACTCATTTTTCTTGTCTTCCAAAACAGAGAATTTACGAGGACACTCTAAAAGTGTTTACAAGCCCGGAATAAATTACTTGTCAGCTGACTATCGACTTTCCCATCGAATCATCGAGTGGAATTCACCACCCTCAACAATTCATTGAGGTTCCATCTGTCGACTCCAGATGAAAGATGGATCAACTGAGAGAGCACCATTGCCAAGACTAACACAGGCCACCAACATCCTGTCCTTTCCAAACTTAAACTTAAGCATTTCTCCACATTTTTGGTATGGGTTTACACGAGAAGGTATGATAAAGATGCTCGCGACTAGATAACATGAAGCGACAGCACGCTTTTTAAACAGGAGGTTCGGTATTTCACCGGTTTCTAAACATTGTGACGAGTAAATTGATCGGAGGCATTTTCTGATATCAGTTTCAGTGTAAATCGTAACACAACTATTCTCGAGACCTGTGCATTTATGAAGCATGACATCAGATGACTGATTTACGAAAGACCTAATTAAATCATTAACATTCTGCTAGCTATCGTTTTTGATGCGTCATTCATCCGTAAGTTCTTTAAATAGTTTCCGCATACTTGAAGAGTTTTTAGGAGACTGGAGTTCCTGAACATTCACCACAACAAGTGATCAGAATCCTGAGCATTTGGAGGGATGGATGTCATTCTCGACATTACTTTAAGCCAATACTACTGTTATGTTAGTCGTTTTTCTTCGTTTATTTCCCAGTTTTGTTAAAGTTTGTATTGGCTAAAATCGCCAAAATTTGCTTTATTTTTAACATTTTTTCATTGTTTATGTTAGTTGACGGAAGCTTGTCAGAATTCTTTAACGTTTCCGACCATGGTGGGATGTAATGAGCTGACATTGTTGTTGGCTTCCGTTTTCTGAGTGTCAAAGAATAAGTTGGTTGCATCAAAATGCGGTTTCCACTTTGTTATATCGTCCTGACGTTGTGACTATTACTGCTCGCTGGCACGACTGCCCCAGTGATACTTGAGGTGCTTCCTCGTAAAATGTTTACTCTTATCACTTGTTTGTGCTCATTTAAGTTCGTCGTAACAAAAAGCTTTTTAATAACCGCCATCCGGTGTAATACTATGTCTCCCTAGTATGAAACTCCCAACACTATGCCGATAATTATCATGAACTTGGTTGTGACTAGCTTCAAAAGGTTACTCCTGGAATTCTGGTGAGAGACCATGGCCAGTGGAGTTCAACTGTGTCAAGTATGAGACAGTTTCTCACCGAAGAATATGGAGTATGGTCTTTTTATATCGTTGATTGTTTAAAGCTCGACATTAACACTGTTGGATGCTGGCTCACTGGTCTAAAGTCTAAGCGTTCACGTGAGACCGAAGGTACTGCGCTCGATCCCCTTCGTTCTGGATCGTAGATCCATACTTTTGAGGCGTCCCATAATAGGACTAAACGGTGGTCAACTGCTTACAGGTTGTTATTGATAGCCTAATTTTGATCTTTTCATGATCTTAACTAAAAAATTCCATTACGGCTATTTAAAGGTGATTAAAAGTCAGTCAGTACTTTAAATGTTGGTCGTCAGATCAACTT